ATTTGAACAACACTAGTAATCATTATTGAGTTTTAAACACTTATAAACCCTAACTCATTTAAGTTTCATCCGTGCTATAAGTATGTGTGATTATTTAAGTTTGTGATGTGAAAATATGTGAAATAATTTTTTTTTTTTAAAATAGAGTGATATATAACACATTATAAATTTTTATAATGTGTTATAATCCAATTAGGTGAATAAAAAAAATAACGTTATCCCTAGACTTCCGTCCAATAATTACATCCAATTATTTGGACTTATAATATATGATATACTACTCAGATTTGGGTAGGAGACGAAGTTTTCTTCCAAAAATGAGCGTTTATTTTATATTATAGGAATAAAAAATTGGTACTGAAATTCGTAATTATTGGATCTGTCCTTCTCGGACGGGTTAGGAATATAGTAGTGCATACATCCAACTTTGTATACTTTGTATATTTTCATTCTTGAAAGTTTTGGCAGCACCTATTCGTTGTTCTCCGTGTACATTAAGCATATGTTATTCTGCTTTTCGGGTTATTACTGATACGCATAATAACATCCGCACAGTGTACAGGGAGAACAGCGGGTAGGTGCTGCCGAAATTTTCAAGAAATGAAAATATACAAAGTATATAAAGTTGGATGTAAGCACTACTATATTCTTAATGGATAGAAGCCTTCCTATGACAGCCGCAAGATTAGTGTAATTAGTTTCTACGTACGTTTTATATATATTTTATGTAGATAAATATTCATATTATTAAATGATATATGAACGTATGTTTGATATGTGTTGAATGTATAAGAGTAATGGATGTATTAGTAGTTGTGAGACTAATCGTATTTAATAATTATATATAATTTACAGATGAGGATAATTCCTGAAAAATCATGGATAGATATCCGTAGGCATCATAGATTTTACGACACACGATACAAGGAGGGATGTGAAGCCTTCATGCGTTATGCAGAAATAAATCCGAGAAATTTAAGAAGCGGTGCTATGTATTGTCATTGTTGTAGGTGTAGGAATTTGAAGCTGCTGAATAGAAATGATATACGGATTCACCTAATAAAATTATGTTTTGATGAGAAATATAAATACTAGAACTGGCATGGGGAAGGTATCACTGAAGATGAGGATCCAAATATGCATGTTGGTACGTCTGGTGGCCAACGAATAGATGACACAGAAACATTGTTGAATGATATTTTTCCTCGACCTACAGAATATGATGTTGATGATAATGCCGAGGATGATATTGGAGACAAAAGTGAAGATGATAACGAAGTTGAAGCTGAAGAGGTAGGAGGTGTCGCGAGTGTCGAAAATATTGATGATATGCATTCCTCCACAGAAATAAAGCGAATAATGGAGCTACTAGAAAATAGTGAAAAAGACTTATATGAGGGATGTACCGAGTACTCCAGATTTTCATTTATACTGAAACTCCTTCATATTAAGACACTTAGCGGTATATCAGATAATTATTTTGAAATGATTCTTGATTTGCTTCGGACTGTAATCCCTGGAGGAGAGAATAGCATACCCCAAACAACTTATCAAGCTGAGAAGATTGTCTCTGCTCTGGGTCTTGATTATAATAAGATTGATGCATGTCCGAATGATTGTATTTTGTACCACAAAGCCAATAAAGACCTTCAAGAGTGTCCGACATGTGGAGTTTCTAGGTGGAAACAGCGCACAAATTCTTCAATAAGGATTACAACGGAGACAGGGATAACACAGAAGAAAATTCCAGTCAAAGTGCTGCGACATTTTCCATTGGCTCCTAGATTGCGAAGATTATACATGAACAAGAAAACGACAAAGAATATGAGGTGACATAAGGATGATCGAGTAGACGATAGTAAATTGAGACATCCTGCTGATGCTTTAGCTTGGAAGCATGTTGATAAAATTTATCCTCGTTTTGCCGAAGATTGCAGAAATGTAAGACTGGGTCTATCATACGACGGATTCAATCCATTTGGGGTAATGAGCTCTGGCTGGTCTACGTGGCCAGTTGTATTAATGCCATATAATTTACCTCCATTGCTTTGTATAAAACAACCGTTTATGATACTTTCATTACTGATACCCGGTAAGCATGCTCCAGGAAATGATATTGATGTCTACTTAGAGCCTCTAATTGATGAGCTAAAACAATTATGGTCTGAGGGTATTTTAGCATATGATGCCTATTTAAAAGAGTAGTTTAGATTACGTGCTATTCTATTATGGACGATTAATGATTTTCTAGCTTATGCTAATCTGTCCGGGTACTCTACGAAGGGCAAGTGTGCTTGTCCTGTATGTGGTCCAGAATTTGAAGCTCTTCAATTACCACATAGCCGAAAGAGTTGTTATTGGTTTAATCGAAGGTGATTGCTCTTGAGTCATAAGTACAGAAAATTATCAGCTAAGTTTGATGGCACAGTTGAGAAAAGAATGAAGCCGCGCCAACTGACAGGTACTGAGATCGTTCAATTACTTGAGGGGTTTCCAAAAGTTGTGTTTGGGAAAAAACGCTATTCTAAATTTAACCCGCTTGGAGTAAGAGATTACTTAAAGTTAAAAAAGTCATTGAAGCGTAAGCGAAAGGTCCGTAAAATGCAAGTTGAGGACGAAGCCCAAACATTACCTAGAGGATGGACTAAATTTAGTATCTTCTTTTAGCTACCTTACTGGCAAAATCTTAAAATCCGACACAACTTAGATATTATGCATATTAAGAAAATTATATGTGATAACATAGTATCAACTCTCCTACAAGATCCAAACAAGTCGAAGGATGATCTACGGGCGCGCCAAGATCTGACTGCTTTGAATATCCGAAATGATTTGCAAGCTCAAGACGTTGGCCTTAAAAAATTAAAGTTGCCTCCGTCTCGTGTTACAATGTCAAATGAGCAGATGCAACGAGTTTGTGAAATTCTCAAATCGATAAAGTCGTCGGATGGTTACTCTGCTAACATTTCAAATAATGTCCAGGTGCAAGAGAGAAAACTCTTAGGTCTGAAGACACATGATTATCACGTTCTTCTCCATCAATTGCTCCCTGTTGTAATCTGTAACAATGTGGATAAACAAGCGTCGAAGATTATTATTGAGTATTGTGGATTTTTCAGAAAATTATGCTCTAAGGTCATAGATGTAGATGACTTTAAGAAACTTGAAGCCGATGTCCGAGTTACTCTATGCAATATGGAAGTAGAAGCGTCGAAGATTATTATTGAGTATTGTGGATTTTTCAGAAAATTATGCTCTAAGGTCATAGATGTAGATGACTTTAAGAAACTTGAAGCCGATGTCCGAGTTACTCTATGCAATATGGAAGTAATATTCCCTCCTTCATTTTTTACAATTATGGTCCATCTTACCCAGCATCTTGCAAGAGAGGCTAGAATCGCCGGTCCTGTTACTTATCGTTGGATGTATCCGATTGAAAGGTAATTTACGATTTTTCTTATATTTATTAATTGTATACGCGTTTTTCAAATTACCGTGCTAATAATTAACTTTTATGATTATAAGATACTTGGGCTGCATGAAAAACAATGTTCGCAATCGAGCTCGTCCCGAGGGCTCGATAGCTGAAGGATACGTGGCTAACGAATACTTTGTGTTTGCATCACGTTACATGCGTAAGAAGAAAACCACATCTCAAGCACCTCAAAAGGAGAGGAAGCGTGAAAAATACCCGAGATCTCTCTTAGATCAAATTCATGCATATGTGTTGGAAAACCTTGATATGTTCGAAGACTATCGAAGGTAACAAATAAAATCTGTAATATAGATGAGAAATATTCATTTTACATATAGTTTATCAATACAAACTTATATATTGTTTATATAGGCGACATCTGGAGAAGCTTAAGAATGAAACAACCGGTAGGAATGCAGCGCACAATATTCAGAAAAGACATAAGAAAGAATTTTCTGATTGGTTAAGAATTGATGTAAGTGTTTTACAATTAATTATTGAACATTCATAATATAACATCACCTAAATATTCTCAAATTGTTTGTCTTAGGTTGAAAAATCACTTCTTGATGATACTACATTACCAGATGAAATTATTATCCATGCACAACGTCCTTATCACGAAGTGAGACGTTATAATGAGCATTTGGTGAATGGATATAAATTTCGAACGTTAGAGACCGATGATAGGAGAGTAACTCAAAATAGTGGGGTCATGGGCTTGTTTGCTCAATAATGTTTTTCAAGTATAAGAGATCAGAATCCAATTCTAGCTGACATATTATATTATGGCCAATTAGAAGATATCGTTGAGGTAATTTACGGGTTTGGTAAACCAAAACAATGTACTTACACGATGTTCAAGGTTCGGTGGTGTCCTGCAAAAAAGCAAAAGGATCATTATGGATTTACACTAGTCAATCTTCACCGAGAAGTATATACGGATGAGAAATTCATTTTCGCAGAACAAGCTGATCAGTGCTTCTATGTGAAAGATCCGAATGTCATGTATGATTGGGTGGTTTTGTACAAGGAGCCAAGATCTGTTGTTCTTCCTAATAACAATGAAAAAAATATTGAAGAAAGTGAAGATAATTATAGTGAACCAATCGGTTCATCTGATGATGTTTGGCAAGAATTCTCTTACGCACAGAATGTGGCGCTGGATGTAGGTATGAACTATATATGTTACACCACATTATCGATTTTTATCTTATCATAATAAAAACAATAATGCATTTCATAACAACATATCTCATGAGCATGTATACAATTTTTTCTTAACGATTGTCTTTATTATATTTGCAGATGAGGAGGAGGATGAGGAGGCTCTTTGACCTGGAGGGTGATCGCTCACGGAGTATCACCCCAGGTAGTGGTGCTGATGATCCACTACCATCTCCGGATGCAGGTATAAAAATTAATTAATACTTAACATGTTTTATAAATTTTTAGTTATCTAGCTCATAGTGTTCATTTGTTGTAGATGCTGGATATTCATCACCCGACCCCTCTGATGCAGCACCAGAACCATCCCCCGACGCAGGTATTAAATATTTAATAATTGATAATGTTCAATTAAAATTTAATATTAATGATTCTTCTTTCTTATGTAGGTGCTACTTGGACCCCGACATATCCATCATATACATTCCATACTGACTTGCGGCCAAAGACCCAGGACTTTCTCAGTTTACCTTTACCTCCGGACTCTCATAAGTCCAAGGCTGAATCAAGGAAGTACCACCCACGTGCTGCGAGAAGGTATCAGGAAATGCTTCCTATGTTGGAGACTAGGAAAGCTGTTGCACTCGCAGCAAAAGAAAGAGAGATAGCGAATGGTAAATTATATAAATACTTTTAATTTTCACATTTGTATATTATATGATATATTATCATGTTGTCATTATTGTAGGTGCTAAGAAGGATCGCATAGAGGGACGACGTGGCGGAGGTAAGCCTGATTCTAAACAACCGCCAAGAGGAATGAGGGGCATTATTAGGTGGAATAGTTCTAATTTGCCCGTTGGTCCTTGGTCAACCCGATTGAATGCATATATTGGGGTTCTCGTGCGTAGAGCGACCATTATCAACCCTTATTTTCATTTTCGAGAATTACCATGGACCGCATACGAGGCGATATGGACTGCGCTTATGGTAAGTGCATATTGTTTTAGATTTTCATTTATTAATAATTAGTAATTGATATTAAATTATCCTTACTAAATGTGTATGTAAATCTACAGGACTGCTTCTGCCTTGAGGACTTTGAGGGGGCTTGGAATTATGTGTTTAATGTCAAGGTTGAAGCAGTCCTCAAACAATGGAGGCATGAGATCAAACATGAAACCTATGACAGGTATGAGGAGGACTGGCAGAGGTTTTTAAACCTCGATGACCGAGTTGACGAGATTCATTTCACGGCTCTCCTCATGTATTGGGACAACGATGCCGCCAAGGTTAGTTTCATAAAATTTAGTTTATAATTTTAAGATATTATTTCATTTTATATTTATAGATTTTTTTTAAAGAATAAATCCACGAAGGGGTCAGAAAATAGAAGAAAGCAGCTGCATGACCATCACTTGGGCTCACACTCCTACGCCAATCTGGAGGATGTTTATTGTCAGGATACAGTATATGTCATTTAAAGATTTAAAAGATCTTAATGTTTAGTATGATTATGAAATCTTAAAATTTATAATATGACAGGGGAAATCATTAATGCTGATACACTTGAGGGCAAAAGCGGCATATGGTACTTTCCATGAACAATATAGGGGTGATGAGAAGAATCGGGATAAGATCACGGCAAATCTCGAGTTAGTGGTGAGACTTATACATATCTTGAGTAGTATTATTAATTCTATTTTGTTAACATTACGAGGAAACGAGAACACAAATAATATGGTCATTATCTTGAATTAACTATAAATTTGTGCTTTAGGAGGGATTTGAGACTGCATCAAAGGAGGCTGCATCTGTCTACATTTCACAGGAGGAGGAACAAACCGAGCCGGACCCTCACATGCTTTCTGCAGAGGAGAACATCAATCTCACACAGCATTTGATGGGTCATAATAGGTATGGATGTAGAAAATTTGAATCAATTTGAATACTACATTCCTATTTATATTTTTTTATCATTATTGAATTCGAGAGGTAAATTTAATATTTATTTCTCCCTAAACATAGGAGAGGGAGATATCCTCTGCATGGTGTTGGAATGGACGATCTCATGGGGTATGTTATACAATATTTAGGTGGTGCTATTCCTTATAGCGCGTATGGTGGTATCATACGGATCATTAGCTCGATTGGTGATAATTCCGGCACTAGACAGAGTAGTGCTCAGGTACCTTATTTTTTCTTATATTTATAAATTCATTTTTATCTAATATGTTATCAAACACCACATAATGATTATTCAATTAAACATTCAGAGTGGAGATAATGGAGGGAGCAGCACCCGTTCTCGTAATCGGGATAGAGATACCCCCGCCGACGACGATGGATGAGGTTTTTTTATTTTTAATGCAATAAACAGTTTATTTGTTATAACACTACAT